TTAAATTCTTATCTAGCCAAACTCCCAGAAATTTTGAATATTCTGAATATTTAATGGATGTATCATGAAACTTTATTGGAGGGCATTGAAAATGTAGATTTTGAAGCTGGTGAAAGGATATTGCTCTTTATTAATGATTAATCTGTTCCTTTCAAACCATTCTGAAAGTTTTTTTACTGTTTCCTCTACTTTACTCTGGACACTGTCTATACTATTTCCTGTTATAAGAATAGTAGTGTTATCTGCAAAAAAAGTGTTGGCTTTCCATGTTCTAAGCTAGATTCTAGGTCGTTAATATATATCAAAAATAACATTGGTCCAAGAACAGAACCCTGTGGAACACCATATCTTATTGGTTTCTTTTGCGATAGACAATTAGTAATTTCATTAGTTTCTTTATGTCTATAGGTAATTTCCACTGTTTGTTCCCTGTTTTCTAAATATGATTGAAACCAATTTTGTGCAACCCCTCGTATTCCTATTTCTGCCATTTTTCTAAGCAAAATATTATGATCTACTAAGTCAAATGCTTTCGACAGATCCAAGAATAACCCTATACTTATTTCCCTCTCGTCCACAGATTTATAAACCCTTTTAAGAAACTCTGCAATTGCAGTATATTAATTAAAAGTGGGTACTTGACCTAGTATATGGCAGACCACCGATATATACGAGTATATAGTCGACTACTGTTGGATGTAAATATTATTTTATAGCCGACCCAACAACAAGGTCTTGGCCAAAGAGAAGTATTTATGCTACTGAAATATTTCTAATGGCAGTGAATGTATAAACAAAAATTTTCAGATTCCCTTCAGATCACATTGATTCAAAATGATCCCTACAGCTTATGATTGTCATTCAGTGTCATATTGCACATTTAGAAATCTAAAACCTTCATGGTTAGACATATCTAAAAGTTAGAAGAAAAATTTGTTTGTTATGTAACCAGCAGTGATGCAGATTCCTCTCACATGATTCTAGCAGCTGTCTTGTGCCCCATCAGCGTTTTCCTCATAACCGCATGTGGACAATGCAAACATTTATTTTGTGTGTGGGAAATCTTGCCCGGAAGAAGTTTATGGAATTCAAGCAGTAATTTTTCTCAGGCCTCGCCACAGTTATTTTTTGCTGGAAACCAGGACGGCTGAGTTACGGTTCCTAAATAGGCGTCCGGCACAGCAGTCACGAAGTTAGGTTTTCTTTTCTCTATAGCATTCAGACTGAATCTATGGCCCACACATCACACCATTCAGTAGGTACCAGACTTGGTTTCCTCAGAAGGTGAAGTGTCTGGGGCATGGAATTGATAGGTCCCATCCATTTAGTGTCAAGATTAAGAGTGGTTGGAGCTACGAGGGGGTACCCAAAAGAAACCGAACTTATTTTTTTAAACTTATTTATTCAAATTTTAAGCACAAACCTTCAATCCCCTTCAAAGTACTCTCCACTTACACTAATACACTTATCTAGTCTTTTATTCCATTTTTCAAAACATTGTCTAAATTCATCTTTTGAGATGCTTGACAGCGCCTCCGTCGTTTTTTCCTTTCATGTCTCTTTTCATTCGGGGAAACAAAAAAAGGTCGCACAGGGCAAGGTCGGGTGAGTATGGAGAGTGAGGAACAGGGGTCATACCATTTTTGGTCAAGAATTGTCGTACAGACAGGGCTGTGTGAGCAGGGGCATTGACATGATGCAAAAACCAGTCACCCGACTGCCACAGATCTGGCCGCTGGGCTCCAAGTCACTCCCGACAGCTCCACAATTTCTTCAATGGTCCGTCGTCGATCTTCCTTGATGATTTCACGAATTCCTTCAACATTTTCATGTGTTCGGGCCGTAGAAGGACGACCAGAACGAGGTTTGTCATCAATTGACATTTCACCATTTTTGAAACGGGAAAACCACTCAAACGCTTGAGTTTTCACCATAGCATCGTCCTTTTACACCGTTTTTAACATTTTTAGAGTTTCTGTTCCACTTTTCCCGAGCAAAAAGCAGAATTTCTTCGCCGCACGCTGTTCACGAAAATCAGCCATTGCAAAAACGACGATCACACAAAACAGTTGTCACTATAAACTCTGCCGAAACTAGTCCTTACCTTCTGAAGCAACGGTAGTCGGCTTATCGACTCAGGAATGTTAGCTCTATGAGCTCATAGCGGCAAAACGCGGTACTACAAAAGCTCTGCCGACAAAAAAATTAGTTCGTTTTCTTTTGGGTACCCCATCGTATACCTCCACTGCCCATACATCTTCATGATATGATGTCTAATTAAGAATGTGCTCCAAAGTATGGGATTGACATTGACTAGGTTTTTTTTGTTTACAATTATTTTTCACAATAATAAATGGAGGTCAATGATCCTGAGAGAATAAAATGAATATTTATTTATTTATTTTGTCTCTATAGATCATTGCTACATGATATAGGACAAGTCAGTTACTGTACATTGGCTGATTACAATAAAATAGTAACATTATAATACTTACAATTGTTTTCAATAGATTACAGTATATTACAGTAAATAATTAGGGTTCGTATAGTGTGAGGTGGAATCCATATTAGGTCTCCTCGGCATGTCGGCTTCCATATGTCCTATTGTACCTGTACCGGTGATAATGCTTATGGAGAATTTGATGGAATGAGGATAGGCAGGGGAAACTGAAGTACTCAGGGAAAACCTGCCTCAGTGCGCTCAGGGCCACTTTGTCCATCACAAATCCCACTTGACTAGACCGCAACAGTGGGAAGCCAGTGACTACCTGCTTAAGCTATGGCGTGACCTTTGAGATAATATTGGTGAATTTGGCGATAGCACTGGTATAACGTTTCACTGTAGACTCTACACTGCAACATCTCATTACGTCTATTCTCCCTTCCTGGTGTAGCTTCTTGGCATCTGCAATCTCTCAAGAGTAGCTCATTCAGGTAAATCTCCAACTGTTATCTTGGTTGCTGGAAGAAAGAAAGGAAAACTGCGCAGTATGGATTCCCAAAACCGATTATTCATGAATTATGTAATTATAATTGCTTAGTGATTGTCTCACATGAGAGAAACTCATCCACTTTATGAAAACAATGACTGAGTAGGTAAGTTTTCAAAGCGTTTTTGAACTTATATAGCACTGGTATTTCTTTAATATATTGTGGCAGATGATTTAGCAGTTGAAGTCCTAACCAGTGGTCAGTGAATATTACATAAAGGCGTTTCCTTGCCAATCTGTCATCTGTGTCATTTGGAGCACATTCAAAATGATACAATATCGATCTTGTGGTCATCTTGCGTTCCCTATTTCACCTAGTTCACAATTCGTATTGTAGAATGTACTCTGCAGCCGACCAAGAGTGAAGAGAAAATGCGGTGAAATGATGGCTGTAAGTTACATTTCCTATAGAGAAATTTAATTGCATTTGTCAGTGTTGTGAAACAGAATTAAAACGATTATTATTTGTTTTGTAGGTAGAAAACTGGTCATCAGTATCCAAGGATGTGATGGAGTGTTTTCTAAACTTGGAAGACATATTGGATGATGTTGGGCTTCTTTCTGCTGCAAGTTCAGGGGAAGCAGAAGAAGTACCAACATCACAGCATCAAAGACTTCATTTAACACATAAGAATGATCAACAGAAGTGTTATGTTTTAAGAGCATTATATTAGAGCATCCTGTTGCACTCCATACGATAAATGATATAATGATAAAAACTCCGTCTCAAGTGCAAACAATATATTTTGTGTCTTTGATCTTGTTCCCCTACACTACATGTTTCGGCCTCAGATGGCCATCATCAGGTGTATAACACTCACGTCGCTGTCACACTGCACCCAGCTCAAAATTTAACATTTAAAAACACTTTCCTTGTTTTTATCAACTTCTACTTCGTTGATAACTGTCTGGTTTGTAGATTATTTTATCTTACACACGTTAATTTTGACTTTGTTGTAATAGCACTATAATAAAATCTTTAGTTCTAATTTTAAAACCTTTAAAATTCTTTCCTAAATTTAAAAATTTCTTAAATTGTTAGGGTTATTCGCCCTATGTTTAAAGTGCTGCAGCGGCTAGTTCTTGTTACCACACTGTATAGCTGTTGTCTTGTGTAGTCTTTCTTTGTGCGTGCCGCTGCACGTAGTAAAGAATATTATAGTGCTATTACAACAAAGTCAAAATTAACGTGTGTAAGATAAAATAATCTACAAACCAGACAGTTATCAACGAAGTAGAAGTTGATAAAAACAAGGAAAGTGTTTTTAAATGTTAAATTTTGAGCTGGGTGCAGTGTGACAGCGACGTGAGTGTTATACACCTGATGATGGCCATCTGAGGCCGAAACATGTAGTGTAGGGGAACAAGATCAAAGACACAAAATATATTGTTTGCACTTGAGACGGAGTTTTTATCATTATATCATTTATGTTTTAAGAGGTTTTGAATAAGTTGAGGATGATTCATAGTAAAGTAAAGTAAATGACGTTTGGTCTTACAAAGGATGCATGCATTTTTGCAGATTTTCAAACAATCTCCTATGATGTATGTGTTGCACCTGTCATAGCAAATCTTTCAATGAGTAGTTTTTGACCTGAAAGTTCATATGAATCACTCTTGAATTTGTGATTGCAAGTGACTTAAAAAAGAGAGTTTATTGCTGTCATGATATAAATTCCATTATGTAAATCAGAATATTTCATTCATCAGTTGGTAGTGAAACTTATAGTGTTAATGTCACTGAGCTCTTTTATTATGAACATACTGGAAACTTTCAAATTTCTGTATTATTAAATAATATTTGTCTTAGAATGTGAAGTATGTAGCAGTTTGTTCCAAGTAACTTTCTTGAAGAGTAATTTTTATCCCAGTGTGAACGTCATAAGTTTAAAATGCAAATGGAGTTCCAGAAAAGCATTGGGCACTAAGAAGTATACTTTACTTAACAAAATTAAATAATTTTTGTGTGTTTCATGTACTGTAACTGATGCTTAAAGTATTCCTTTGCAGCTGAAGAGAAACGACTGACAGAAGAAATTAAAAAGACGGAAAGAAAAATCCGCAACAGGATATCTGCAGGGGAGTCACAAAGGAGAAAGCAGGAATATATAGATGGATTGGAAGAGAGGTAAGAATCTCATATTATATTACCAAGGATGCAAACATGTATGTATGTATGTAAGGGGTGGGCCATAGAAACTGGCCCCTGCACAGCGACCTTCAGTGATCCGTTGTGCTTCCCCTTGGATTAGCCCTAGGATGCTTCTTCAGTATGTATTTTATCAGCATTTTTTTTAGAGAATTTTCCTTGGGCAGAGAGAATTAGTTGTGATTATATACATGAAATAAAAAATATAAGATGTTATTACTGTGCTGAAATTAGTACACACGTATAAAGATGTTGAGATGATATTAATTATGATAGACTACAACTGAAACATTTATAAATCTTGTAATCCCAGGTTTAATGTGGGTAATTATATATTACTGCTCTGTCCATCAGCTTGTTGTGGCCAGTTTGACACGAGCTCCTGACTATATATAATTTTGGTGTTCATTGTGGTAACTGTCTTCAGGATGAATGAGGAAGTGGGGTGGTATGTAGGGCTTACAGTAGAAGCAATGGTGGCCATGGTGTTTTCCAATGGGAGTGAACCTTGTGGGCAAGAAGGGTTGGAGAATACTTGCAGCCAGACTGCGTGGGTGTATCGATCTTGGTTGAAGTTGTGGCGATGTCTGTTTTGATGGATTCCCTGATTATCTAAAAGTAAGTAAAGTAAAGCTGTCCCTGTAACAGGCCGTGAATGCCCATAGGGTTGTGAAACGTTGAGGGTCCCACTTTATCAAGACAGTCGGCTCAAAGATGGAGGTAAGTTTGTCAGCCCTAAGCGCCGGCCATGCTGTCTACTTATAAAGCCGGTGCCCAAAAATAATGTAAGTAGAACAAGAATTTCTATCTTAAAATTAGATTTTAAAACACTGTGCGCATGTGTGGACTGCGCATACCCATACCGTGTCGCACGGCCACTCAGCTACACATTCAAGGTCTGCATACGGTGTCGCTAGGCTCTTAAAGGTTAACAGTTCCGTTGCACCCGTTCTGCTCCAACCCTTCTTCATAAACACATAGCCCCTTCTCATTGGATAACACCATGCCCCAGCACTACCTCCTCTGAGAGACCTAGATATCGGTCCACTTTGTCCTCCTGTCCTATTTACCCTGAAGATGGTGACTGCAGTATACATTGGGACATGGCTAAACCCTGAAACCAGCAGCTTACATATCAGATACAAGCTACAAAAACAGAAGAACAGGGACCTGTTGAATAAGCAGTTAAGTAGTAATAAAAGTGACACAGACAATATAAAGTTGCATTCCAGTTCTGCTATAACAGTGTTGCACAACAGATGAATGGTGCAACATGGCTAAATATTTACATCTTTTAAGGCATGACTGTACAGCACATAGGTGGCTGGTAGACTTCGTATAGGTAAACATTTAACTGTTTCTTCTCCATTGTGCCAAAACAAGTAGATTATATAGCCCATTTCCTTTTTAGTGCAGTAAAACTCCCATAAAAGGTTTTTTTTTAGGTGCTACTCAGTGAATCTGAACTTGAAACTGAGGAGTATCTTATGTGAAATGATTTTCACACTGAGATTAGTGACTTTGGATCATCAAAAATGATTGGTACTCATACATGGGAAAATTTTAAATCATGGAATATTAAATGAAGGTTCCACAGTATGCCATAATGGAAGGTCATGAGAATAAGGAAGGTCTGTTTGCATTATGGTTATGACATGTTTTGTAATAGAGGACTTTAATTGCTGCATCAAAACTGACTAGAGTTATGCAGTTATTTCAGAAGTTTTATATATTTGTTAGTAGGTAAAGCAGTTGTACACTTCACGACACCAGATATTTTCATGGCATCATAAGGGTTTTAGAAATGTGCTTACCCTCGTTTCACAGGCAAGTTAATTTTAAGTAGCTAATGGCTGTCAGCTTTATTTCTGGACATATATTATGTGTATTTATTTGCTTTCAAACCATTTCTGTTTTGCAGAATATTTTATATTCGATATGTCAGTGAAAATAAAAGAAGTTAATCTTATGGGATATGACGCCATGTAGACCAGTAGACAGTTACCACTTACTTACTTACTTACTTACTCACTCACTCACTCACTCATGGAGCTGAGCCCTTCTTGGGGAGCCGCCAGTTCTGCAGCTACTCAAGAATTTCCCAGCATTTTATGGAACTCGAAGGGTCATCACCGTGTTCACAAGAGCCCTCCACTGGGCCCTATTCTGAGCCAGATTATCCAATCCATACCATCCCATCTTATCTCTCTAAGATCCATTCTAATATTGTCCACCCACCTATGCCTTGGTCTTCCCTGTGGTCTCTTTCCTTCTGGCTTTCCCACCAATATCCTATACGCATAGAGGTTGGTCTAGAAGTAAACACAGAGAAAACTAAGTAGACAGTTACCACTTTGGAGGAATCTGCTGCCTCTTTATTCAGGGTAATCATCTGTGAGGCTGTATGGCATTACATTCCAGAAGACTGTACTTTTTGTGCTCATTGCTGTGAAAAATTTCACATATTTATAATGCTCTTCATGTATAGCAAGACAGGTGGAAACTTTTGTGTGGAAATTGTGTTGAATATCAGTGGCATAAACTTTTTTGTAACTAGTTTACTTTCCTGGCTTCATAACTTGTACTCTTCTCCAAGTATAAATAGAATGATCAAGTCAAGGAGGATGAGATGGGCAGGGCATGTTGCATCAATGGGGGCGAGGAGGAATCCATATAGGATATTTGTGGGAAAGCCAGAAGGAAGGAGACTACTGGGAAGACCAAGACATAGGTGGGTGGAAGTATTAAAATGGACCTTAGAGGGATATGGTGGGATGGTATGGATTGGATTAATCTGGCTCAGTATAGGGACCGGTGGAGGGCTCTCGTGAACATGCTAATGAACTTTGGGTTCCATAAAATGCTGGGAAGTTCTTGCGTGGCTTCACAATTGGCAGCTTCTCAAGAAGGGTGCACTCAGTGAGTGAGTGAGTTCAGTTTTCTGTCACACAGTGACAAAAAAAAAAATTTCATAGTCAGGTGTATTTGAAGTATACTGAAGAACTATGATTTCTTACAGTTGCAATTTTAAGTTTAATTCATGATTTCTATAAGTTTATTCATGGCTGTACAGGCTGTAGCACTTTCTCACATAATCAGTATGGGAGACCAAGGTGATGAAGCTTGTGTGGTAAATTCTCTTGGGCATTGTTGCTTTCCATTTCTGCAACTTTTACCAAATATATTTGTGTTATTGTAGGGTAAAGCATTGCACTGAGGAGAATCTGCACCTAGTAAAACGTGTGGAAGCTCTGCAGACAGAAATCCAAACACTAGCAGCAAGGGTGAAAGAACTCGAGGCTCTGTTGTCCCATGGAGCAACAAACACAGCACAAATTTTAAGCCTGAATCAGAGCTTGTCTCCCAACTGTGATGGCCAGAAGGATCAAGACCTCTCACAGCCAGAAAACAAAATGGCACCTCTTGCAGGTTAGACATGCAGAAAGAAAATATTCTTAATTAAGCGAGCATGACTGAATTTTTATGTGCATGAATGGATTCGTGTAGGCCACATTAATTTAGCTGTTACCCCAGTGACATAACAGTTATCATGTGGAAGTCTTAAAGTACTGAGAGTTTTATTTTTATTTTGTAATTTCAGGTGGAAAATATTGTAACGTGTTTTGTGTGTCACGCTACAAATAAGTTCACGTCGTCTGATATATAGCGAATTTATTCTTCGCTCGTCTTACACACTCTTTACAATCATCTCCGTCTGCACTTGCAGTGCCACATTCACTGCTCACAGTATTCGGCAATGCTGGACTATCTCTTCTGGAGGCTGGCCCGAGACTTTCTTCTCCGGAGGCTTGGTGACGTCTGGCTTCTTAGCTGTCTAATCCGAGAGTGACTTCTTTGAAGTCTATTCCGAGACTCTGTCTTCTTCGAAGTCTATTTCGAGACTGACTGTCTCTCTTCGAAGCTGGACTATTTATCCTTGGCCGCTGCTAGGTAACGAACCCTCTGTTATAGCGATGGAGACGTTGCATTGTCGGTTCCGCGTTCCCTATGCAATGACCCATTGTTATTGCGTTGTCTCTGTGGAAACGCTGCGCATATCTGTCGTAACCGTGGAGATTCGATGTTTCTTATGCAACGGTCTGTTCTAGCGTTTCCGTAGAAGTGGCTCTTCTTTCAGACACGTTACAATATTGTGTATTATTTATATAAAGGACTGACTGCTTGTCTGAATGTAATATGACACTGCAGAACTAAAAGGATCCTGTTTCTCTCAACAGTAAAATCTTATTTAAAATCTAAAACCCTAGGGAGAGGGCCTCCCCTTTCTCCTACCATTTTCACTTCCTAGAACAGGCATATAGATTTATGGAAGGAAAACAGTGAACTGGCTTCGCTGTGTTGAAAATAGAATTTAGTAAATTTCTGATCATACAACAGTCTGCATCACTATTTGATGATGGACCACCCTCAGAAATGTTTCTCAAGTTGTGGGTCAAGGCTTGCAGGTCTGGAGGGTATCTACAAGTACATTGAATTAACAGTTGTCAAAGAGTGGTCTTCCAGTGTGGGGATCAGACAGGAGGACTAATAATCCTTCACTGACTATGTTATGAATTTTTCAGTGACAATGGAATAAGTTAAATGGGGTATGAGAGTGTGGATTGGATTCAGTTGGCTTAGGACAGGTTCCATTTCATGATCACATGAGCTGAGTAATGAAACCTCCAGGTGTGATGAAAGGTGAGGTGGGTCCCTGTCACCATGGAATGGGGCGTCCTCAGGTTGCGGATGGAGTAGACACCCTCCAGTTTTGGAGGGAAGCTGCGAATGTATTGAATAAGCAGTCTCGGACAGCCGTCAAATGGTAGCCCTCCAGCTTGGGGTGTTTGGGGCTAACAACTGCTCACTGTAAAAAATCATTATATGAACACAAAGCCTCAGACCTGGACAGATTCCTTGGATAAAAGACATAAGCTAATGAAAATGGATATGAGATGTGGCACTTGGAATGTACGAAATTTGTATAGGGCAGGTACACTCAGGGCAGTGGCAGAAGAAATCTTAAAATATAAGTTAGATTTAGCGGGAGTACAGGAGGTCAGACGGGATGGAGGTGGCATCGCACCAGCAGGAGACTATACATTTTTCTATGGAAAGGGGAATGAAAATCATGAATTAGGTACAGGTTTTCTCGTACATAAGAGAATCATGTCAGCTGTTAAGAGGGTAGAGTTAGTTAGTGATAGGATATCATTTATAATACTAAAAGGTCACTGGTGTGATATCATTGTTACGAATGTTCAAATAGACCATATTTTGATAGATAGGAGACGGCACTCAAGTATACTTGATGTCCGATCATTCAGGGCAGCAGATTGTGATACTGACCACTACCTGGTGGTGGCAAAGGTTAGGGAAATATTGGCAGTGAGCAAACAAACAACACAGAGTTCATATGGAGAGGTTCAATCTCAAGAAATTAAATGAGGTAGAGGGTAAAGAGCAGTATCGTGTTGAAATCTCAAATAGGTTCGCGGCTTTGGAAAATTTGGACACTGTGGTTGAAGTTAATAACGATTGGAAACTATTAGAGAGAATATAAAAATATCTGCCAAATAGAGTCTAGGTTATTATGAACCATAGAAGCATAAGCCATGGTTCGATGAATGATGCTCAGAATTATTATATCAAAGAAAGCAAACCACATTGCAATGGTTACAGGATCCAAGCAAGTTAAATAGGGATAATCTGAACAATATAAGACATGAAACCAGCAGGCATTTCAGGAACAAAAAGAGGGAATATCTGAAGAAAAAATTGATGAACTTGCAGTGAACAGTAAGAACAAGACCATTAGAGACCTGTATAGAGGAATAAATGACTTTAAGAAGGGTTATCAGCCTAGCAGTAACTTAGTGAAGGATGAGAATATTGATCTGCTTGCAGATTCCCACAACATTTTGAAAGTGCTATTGCAAAATTGAAACTTTATAAATTGCCAGGTAGTGATCAAATTCTGGTAGAACTTATTGAAGCAAGAGGCGAAATATTACGTTCCAAGATCCACAATCTAATTACTTCTATTTGGCATGAGGAAAAATTGCCTGATCAGTGGAAGGAGTCTATTTATTGTACCAATGCACAAGAAGGGTGATAAAACTGACTGTAGTAATTATCGGGGATGTCACTGCTATCAACTTCATATAAAATTTTGTCCAATATTCTTCTTTCAAGGATAAGTCCATATATAGATGAAATTATTTGGGATCATTAGTGTGGGTTTCGACGTAACAGATCAACTACAGATCAGATGTTTTGCATTCGTCAGATATTGGAGAAAAAATGGGAGTATGATGAGACAGTACATCAGTTATTCATAGACTTCAAGAAAGCCTACGATTTAGTTAGGAGGGAAGTATTGTACAATATTCTGATAGAGTTTGGGATACCCATGAAACTAGTTAGGTTGATTAAAATGTGTTTAAACGAAACATATAGTAAAGTCCATCTAGGTAAACATTTGTCTGATAAATTTCCTATCCAGAATGGTCTAAAACAAGGAGATGCTTTATCGCCACTCCTTTTCAACTTTGCCGTAGAATATGCAGTTAGAAAGGTCCAGGGAAACCAGGTGGGACTGAAATTAAATGGGACATGTCAACCATTGGTTGATGATGTGAATCTACTGTGTGATAATACAGATACCATAAAGAGAAACACACAAACTTTAATTGAAGCAAGTAACAAGGTTTGTCTAGAAATAAACACAGAGGAAACTAAGTATATGTTGCTGT